CATACCCCGCACGTCTCCAATGCGCGCTCGGCATCCGTCACACGGTTGCTCCTGCGCCTGCGCACTGCAATGTTGCAGCAACCTCACGCTCACGGAAGCATATCTCCACGACAGCTCCACATCCTGCTGCCGCAAGTGGCAGTCCTTCTCCCTGCTGTTCCCTGCGCGTAGACGCAGTTGCGAACACACACGGACACACAGAGCCATACTGCATAAAGTCGCCTCTATCCCGCACCGTCAAACAACCAGAGTCCGTTCGCCACCGCCTTTAGAAACGCTGCGACCGCTAGCGGGATTGATGAACTTTTCCAGCAGAGCTGCATGCAAGCGATGCAGCGATACTAGTTGGCGCAGGCAATTGAACGCAGAAGCGGCGCACTCATCCAAATGCATTGTGTGAGACGAAGCACGCACCCGCTGTACGGTGCCGAAAAATCGCAAGCGCCTACCAGCGTACAGGCGCAGCACGGCAGACCTACCCCGTTTCCTTGCAACGACACCACGTACCCATCCAACAGACGCCTTGCACCCGTCACGCGGGTGCCGCTTCTCCTTCCGTTCCTACCCTTCAACAACCGGACGAATGCAAAAACACATCTCTGCTACAGGTCGACGTTCTGCTGTAGCAAGTGGCACACCTTCCCCAGCTTGCTTGTTGGGCGTAGACGCAATGGCAAACGCACACGGACACGCCGACCCATATTGCGGAGGTTTGCCGCTAAGTCCGTCCACCCAACCAGCACACTCCGCCTGCCACCGCTGCTGTAAGCCCTGCGACCACGAGCGAGATTTCTGAAATTTTTGTGCACAGCTGGCTGTAGGCAAACCAGCGATACCCATCAGCGCAAGCAACTGAACGCAGGCGCGGCGTACTCGTTCACATTTCCTGTAGGACGCAATACGCACCTCCTGCACGGCAACGACACGTCGCAAGTGCCTGCTGACCTGCAAATGCGAACGATATAACGACGCCCGTCGACGAAGGCAACTGAAGGGAGGTGCGGCGTACTCGTCCACATTTCTAGTAGGACGCGAAGCTCACCGGCTGCACAGTGAGGACGGTCCGCCGGTGGAGACCGCAACCTTTGGGAGCCACCTCTGCACCCATGCGCCGCTGTGCTAGGCGTCCTCGCACCATCACCACGCACGCCCTCACAGCATGCCCTGCAGCCGTCATAAGGTTGCCCCTGTGCCTAGTGCAGCTACCCTGTAATACCCGTAGCACGCCAACGCATATCCCCACCACAGTACCCATTCTGCTGGCGCAACTGCCGCTCCTTCTCCCTGCTCTTGCTTGCACTTAGATGCAATTGGAAATACACACGGATACGCAGGCACACACTGCCGATGATCGCCTCTATTCTCCACCGGCCAACACCACACTCCGCCTGCCACCGCTGTGCAATCTTTGCAACACCGAGTGGGATTGATGAGCGCGCATAGAAGAGTTGCACGCGAGCGATGCAGCGATACCAGTCGGCGCAGGTAACTAAACGCAGATGCGGCGTACTCGTTCACATCCCTTGTAGAACGCAAGACGCACTCGCTGCGCAGTGACGATGGTCCGTCAGTGTATATCGGAGTGCAGCTGCAGCACGCCAGATATTCCCTAACGCTCGGTGATTCACGCATGCGCCAGCGCGCCGCTGTGCCAAGCTCCTTTGCAATAACACCTCGCACGCATCCACTGCATGCCATCGAACCGTTACAAGGCTGGCCCTGAGCCTGGCCCCGACCCCGCTCAACTTCACGGATGCCAACGCACATTCCTACAACAGCTCCACATTCACGTGTCGCAAGCGGCACTCCTCCTCCCAGCTGCTGTTTGCGGGTAGACGCAATTGCGAGTACACATGGATACTCCGGCCCATACAGCAAAACGTCGCCCATATTCCGTCCCGCCCAACGCTCACAGTCCGTTTACCACCGCTGTTACTAACTCTATGACCGTGACTGCCATTGACGAACTTGTCTAGCAGACCAGCATTCAAGCGATGCAGCGATACCAACCGGGGCACGCAAATGAGCGCCGATGGTGCGTACTCCTCGACATATCGCCCAACACGCACTTGCTGCGCGGTGACGGGAGGCCGCACGTTCCGACGAACGTGCAGGTACAGCACGGCAGATCTCCCCCCAGGCTGTGGGAGCCAAACCTGCACCCGGGCGAGGCTGTGAAGGACATCCTTGCAACCATACCCCGCACGTCTCCAATGCGCGCTCGGCATCCGTCACACGGT